AGACAGCACAAATGACAACACAAGTGCTAGGTCAGTCAGACAAGAAATTGCCTTTATTGATGGTTGCTCAGTTTTAGTAGTTTTTCATGAAATACCAGAAACTTAACCTAACAATTCTTAATTCAAAGCTAGACATTTCATACAAACATGGCAAGGTAGCAGGTAATCTTTACTGATTTATTTAATCATTTAAACTATCATTGCTATTATAAATATATATCCTTACAACTTAAGGAACTCACAATTCATGTAACAATGCACGAGCAGTAACAGAAGAATTTGCTTGTTATATTTCAGGTAATGATGAGCTGTTACGATGTGATGCATTGTGGGCCAAATTGTTGGCTGATTATGGAAACACTGGAAGGATTGTTACAGCAGATGCCTTTCTCAAGTCTATGTCAATGTAGTAGTACTTCATATATACACAATAATATACAACAGCTTTATGTAGACATATGTTTACTTACATTTAAACTGAAGACAATTTAATAGTTGTATGTAGTTATACATGCAAATACATTGAATAACACCAATTGTTAAAAGAATTTGAGAAATAAGTGATTTTTTAAAACTACTTCATAGATAGTAAAAGCATCAATTCATTTTGAATTGTTTTGAATGTTTTTAGTTTTACATATGGTAATACTAAAGACATTTTTAGAGAGAACTATTATGTGGTGACTAGGAAATCGGAGTTTCCTAACATATATAATTTTATTTAATGTATATTTTGTTGTTCTGTATATATATGTTTGAAAAAAGTTATTTACATGGATTTCTATTTGACTTCGACTTTTATGTTATATGTAACCTTTTTGTCTTTTGTTGAAATGATTGATATTGCAGAGTATAAATGGATATACAGTATATATATATGTTAAACCAATATGAGAATTTATATAGCATATTGGTAGGCCAAAAAAAAATTCTTTTTAAAGTAGTGTATAATTATTCAGACATTTTCATCCTTGTATGTAAAAGGTTATGACAAATGTAAGTTTTTATTAGCTCGTCTGTTTTGAAGAAAAGTTGAGTTATTATGATCAATGTGTTGTTATCGTCGTTGTCTTTGTTGTCATGCAAAAACTTTAATGTAGCCCATAACTCAAACAATATTAGAGGTATCTATATGAAACTTGGAAAACTTGCTTATCATGACTAGAGGCAGTTTTAAGACAAGGTGCATAATTCTGAAAGCTATATTTTTGGAGTTATGCCCCTTTATAACTTTTAAAGTAACTAAATTTTTTGTCATAAGTGCTTATTTTAACAGACAAGTGTTAACACCACATGCAGTAGTCTTGTTAATTTTTTGGCATTCAGTGAAAGTGAAATTTCAAAACAAGAAAAGTAAATAATTTGTTACAATTAATGTAACATTTTTCTTCTGTTATATAAATAGTATCATAGGTGTGCATAAACTATTTATTATTTAAAATCCTGTCATATACTACACGTATTGTGATTTCACACACTGACACAACATCTATAAATCCAATTAAAGGTAAATGGGTATATTATATTAATTTTACAGCTTTATAAGATATTTTGTCTCTGATTTCTATAAATGTTGTCAATTGGCAATTTTTAGCTGTTTTATTTTCTTCTAAATTTAGTTCTTTTTGGCAAACTGCACTATGGTTTGCAGAAGAAAAATGTTTATTGAGATTTGAATACTTTGTATTATTTCTGTGTATAAAGTTTGTCCATTGATTCAAACTATTTATTGAGGTGATAGATTTATTTTTGAAAACAAGAAATAGTGCCTTTATATTTATCTTCATCTTTATATTATGTATTTACAACTTACTTTTACCATATTAAATACCTTTCAGTTAGGAAGTATTTGAACATGCATTATATTTATGTATATGAATGTATTATTATCATTTGTTTTTCTGTGTAAATGAACATGTATAGTTATATACATGTATTTTTGAAAATTCCTGTTTAATGTTGTAGAATATTGATAAGAAATCCTTTTACTTATGGAGTTGAAGTATGTTTCATGTAGAGTCTCTTATTCAAATATATGATGGTATATTTGAAGTTGTATTTTAACTCGTATATAAATTTGTAAAATGTATCCATGTATACTCCTTGTATTATAAGTTTGCATATTATTATAATAATTCAGATGACAGTTGATATTGATTAAAGGAGGTGAAAAAGATAGCTTTTTGATAAAGACAGAGGTTCATGTGTATATAGTAATTAATTTTCATAATTTTGAATTGATTATAAATGAAATATCTTTTAACATTAACCAGTGTCATTTTGATCATTTTCTGCACAGTTTGCTGTAAATCAGACGTCCATTTCATATTATATTTCTATCTTAAGTATGGTAAATCAACATTGAATGGTTAATGACATTAAGAAAACAAACATTATTGATATAGACATTTTGCTGAAAAGACTTTGCAAAATAATCTATAATTTTATTCTGTAAAATAAGAAATGAAAGACATTTTACATATTATTATTAAGAATTGTTATAAAGTTTGTAGTATTGTATATAATCATGTGTGCTGTGTTTATAAATTCATCAATTTGACTGATCTTGTGCTTTTTACTTCAAAACTTACATGTGAACCCAGTTATTGGACATGTACTTTAAAAATTAACATTAATTTTGACATTTTGGCTTGAGAATTTTATGTGCAGATATGTTTTAAATCCTATATGATAAGTTTACTAGGCTTAAAGCTTAAGACAATGGGGGAGTTGTTATATACACATTATTTTGTTAAATTGCTCTGCAGTTTTTGTACTGTGTAAAGCATATTCTGAGACTGATCGATTTTTTGGTTGATAAAATTTAAATTGCAGCTTTATATCACATTTTATATTAAGTAAATCTGTAATTGTATACATATACCGTTAAAAATGTTTCTAAATTTCTTGATAATAATAAGAATTCAATTTACTGTTTATAATGATTGGGACACAGATATGATTCTGTTAACAAAATATACAGACATATAGTATTAAATTATATAATATGCACAAATATAGTTGACATACCATGTCAATATAAAAATACACATGTATACAAAATTCTTGCCAGATTTTATATCTTCTCCGTTTTAAATATTGTATTTAAATTCTGACATTTTAGATTGTTTATTTGTTTCCCTGATCTTCTGTTTAAGATTTTTCTATTAGATGTAGAATATGATTTATTTGTATTCATGTAAAATGAAATAAGATTTACATAAGAAATATTAGAACTAAATTAAGAATTGTTTTAGATGTGGTGATTATTTCATTAGTTTACTTCGTACATGGTTTGTTGGGATTTTCTGGTACTTTATATTATGATTTAATTAATTTTTTTATATTGTTTGCTATAACATTTGAACAGTTTTTAAGTTAGATGTTTAATGAAATGCGGGTCATAAATAAAAATGTTATATTTCTGTTATATTTAAAGTGGGATATAAGTAGTGGTTCAGATTTTCTTTTATTCTACAGATTTATGTTGTATGGTCGTGTATTGGGTTATGATAAAGTTTGTTTTCTTTTTCTGTGGAATGATGTTTTATTAAATGGTAATATTAATATAATCATTTATGCTGTGTGCAAAGTTTATATGGGAGGTTATTTGTATTGGGATTTTTTTCTGTGTTTTACTTGTTCTGTCTAAAGTAAGTTTTACTTTATAGGAATAATGGGGAATATTATAATATTGGTGTAAACATGTAATGACTTCTATTGAAAAAAAATAGGACAAATATGAACATGTCTGTAATAAAGCAAATGCTATCAAAAAAGGTTTATTTAGATTTTTTCAGTATAATTATCCTGTACATAGACCTTGTCCTAGTTTCTGATTCCTTCAAGTTAATATTTTTGTATTTTTTTTTAACCTGAAATCCACCTGCCCAGGGTAGTTAATGGTTGTTCATTTTATGTAAAAATTCTTTATTTACTTACAGGAAACAGTCTCTTCGAGTCTGATGACATTATTTAAAATCACCTCTTTGTATATTTATTCAAGGATCTTAGAGGAAATACTTTTTTTGTTCCATAAAAGTGTTTCTATGTTTTCATTGTGGTCATGACTTTTGTCCTCAGTAGTGTAGCTCACAATTACTGGGCAATAATTTCACCAGGTTTACTGTTTGCTGTTTTCACATTGTTGTACTTGTTTAAGAGTTCACTGTAACCATCATATAACCATATAACCTGTTTGTAATAAAATCAGCTTTCCTACACTAGACTTCTGTTTTAGTTTATTTGTTGACCAACTAACTTGCCATCATTAGGGGTAGCCATATTGTAAAAACTTATACAATCCCGTTAACCACAAGCAAGAAGTAATAGATTGATTAGAGCTATTTTCTGGCTAACTCTAGAAACTAATGTAATGGCACAGTCTTTTTGTATATAAAACCAGGAAGTATAGCAATTGCCTGTAACACTTGTAGTAAGGATGTATATCAATATTTAAAAAATATTCTAACACTTGATAGGTAATAAAATTTGGTGTCAAGCAAATTGCAGCTTTGGGCATCAAAGTTTCTGACATGATTTTTAGAGATAAATTAGGTGGCCTTCAAATGACCACTTATTATAATATAATATATAACATTAGTTCAGTAGATGGTTACTTAAAACCATCCTGTGAGCGGTTGTTAAGTAGATGTATAAAGGAAATGGATAACAACATTCAATGCACAATTACGTTACAGTTTAAAACTGTTCATTAACTAGAACTGCCACTGTCTTGGCGTGAATACCCCTTCATACCACTTTGTCAGAATCAACAGTGGCCATTTAGAGCCCTGCCAAAGCTAAGGTAAGTAAGCCAAAGCATTGGTGTTATGTAATCTACATGCTTCAAATATGAAAATGTCAAAATCAATACACTGAGGACCTTAAACATTTGAGCAGACAAGCTTATTGTTGTAAAAGCCCATGTGACCTTTGACACAGTCACCTAAAAATTTAAAAATTAAACGAGACTTACCTTGGTTAAGTTGAAGTTTGATTTCAATTCTTTGAGTAAGAATTGAGTGAGGGGCTTAACTGAGATACGGTTGCGCATGCGCAGTTCACTCCTTAACAGTGTTTTTTCCCATTAGTAACAATTATAAGAATGTATTTTCTAAATTTAAATTCCTGTAGGGAGGGAGGGTGGCAGTTAAGCCCCTCACTCAATTCTTACTCAAAGAATTGAAATCAAACTTCAACTTAACCAAGGTAAGTCTCGTTTAATTTTTAAATTCTTTTTCGCGAAAGAATTTCGTTTCGGGACTTACCTGAGACTTTAAAGCCTAATGCGAAAAAACACCTAGTCCTAGTGCCTCAAAACACCTTCTTGAAATGGGTCTCTCCCCGTGTTTATTGCCTTATCATAGAATTTAGCAAATGTGCTTTCTGACGACCAGCCAGCTTTCTCTAATATTACTGCAACAGGCACTCCAGAATTCTTTGCCTTGGATGCTGCTGCTGCTCTCACACTATGAGAACCATATTTCGCAATGTTTATTCCAGATCTATACATAACAGTTTTAATCCATCTAGAAATCGTGTCTTTTGTAACATTTTTATATGGTTTAACATAACTTAATAACAATTTCTTAGCATTATTGTCAATTCTAACATTACTTGTACGCGCCAAATACTCCTTCAGCACTGTATATATACAAAGTCTCCTATCTGGAGGATAAGCCTTAAATGAAATAAAATTAATGTTATGGTTTGGTCTGTTGTGCTTCAGCAGCCCATCAAATTTAAACACAAACTCTGATTTTAACTTCTTATAATCAGTATAACTAATTAATTGTAATGTCTGTACACGTGCAGCTTGAGTTAGGGCCATGAGCATCACCAGCTTCAATGTGAGATTTTTCAGTGAAAGATGTCTTACTGGTGAAAGCTTTTTCAAATAAATTAAAACTTTATTCACATCCCAAACTTCAGTATAACGTGATTTTGTTGGTCTGGCTGCAAATACACCTTTCATGAATCTTATTATTAAAGGATGATTTCCAATCCGAAATCCTTCAAATTGAATTCCAAGAGCAGATAGAGCACCACGAGCTGTATTAAGACTTTCATAACCAAGACCTTTGTTAAACTGATTTGTTAAAAATTCAACTACTTCCTCCAAAGTTGGCGAAACTGGAGTAATCTTCCTTTCAGTACAGTAGCGAAACCACCTGGTAATGTGTGTATTATACTGTTTTTTAGTACCTGATTTCCATGACAACATGAATATTCTGGTAGAGTCCTCTGAAAATCCACGTTTTCTGAAACTATCCCTGACACTTTGCAAACTATCAATCTGAGTCTGCCTTCGAGAGGATGAGACATTTGTTGAAGCGGTAATTTCAGCAAACCTTTCTTCTTTTGAATAATAACTGGCGTGTCTACCAATATGTCCATAAGCCTTGGAAACCAAGGTTGAGTTGTCCAAAGTGGAGCTATGATGATGCCCTTGGCCATATCTCTTCTCATTTTCTGCACGCATCTTCCTAACAGACTGAAAGGAGGATAAACATATACATTATTCACAATTTTCCAATCTATGGAAAACGCATCAACATAAATACAATCTGGATCAGGTTTCCAAGAGCAATAATTCTTTAATTGTGCATTTAACCTAGATGCAAAACAATCTAAATCTGGGGTACCCCACAAATCACAAATCTTATTAAAAATTTTCTCATCCAGTTTCCATTCCAGATTATCTTTAAATTTTCTAGAAGCCTGATCAGCCTCTAAATTTTCTTTGCCTGCAATATGTGCAGCAGTTAACCATATGTCATTAGCTATACACCAGGTCCAAATTTCAACAGCAATCTTATTACACTGTAAGGATACAGTTCCACCCATATTATTGATATAACTTACAGCTGTAGTATTATCCGACATTATTTTTACATGCTGGGAAACAACATGTTCTCGAAACGATCGTAATGCATAAAATATTGCTAACAATTCCAATACATTTATGTTAAGAAGCTTTTCTTCAACAAGCCATCTGCCGCCTGTTCTAATATCTTTATATTTAGCCCCCCATCCAAGAAACGAGGCATCCGTTTCAATAATGGTATTAGGGGTTGACCTATTTATTGATCGTGATTGTTGTCTCAAATTGTTAACCCACCAAGTTAGTTCAGTTCTCATTTTATCAGTCACTGGCATAAAAGCATTATAATTCCCAAAATTCTTCTTTAAATAAAATGTTTTTGCCAACTCTAATTGTCGATAATGCAGTTTCCCATAGTCTACTGCAGAAAAACTTGCAACTATCAAACCAATAACCTTTGCAACCTGCCTTATTGAAGCTACAGATTTATTACATAAGTTTTGACATTCCAAAACAATTTTATCTTGTCTTTCTTTAGGCAAAGTAACTACCATGCCTTCAGAATCAATTATGTTCCCTAAGTAAAGTAATTTTGTTGTTGGAATTAATACAGACTTTTCTTCATTTATAATGAATCCTACCTGTAACATTAAGTTAACAGTGGCTTTGATATTTTCTTCACATTCATTATAACTATCACCCAACAAAAAACTATCATCAATAAATCCAGAATTTACATAGCCCAAACTACGTAATCGTGCATATACTGGTTTCAAAAGTTTCGTAAACAGACGAGGGCCTTCACTAACGCCATTTGCTAAACAGGTATACTGGTAGATTTGTTTACGCCAAATGAAACAAAAACATTTTTGCTGTTCTTCAGCAATCTTTATAGAATAGTATGCATGACGAATGTCAACTGATCCCATTTTTACCCCTGGTGAAATTAATGTGAGAACTTTTTCAAAAGTGTCCATTTTAAAATGTTTATAAGGGATAAATGTGTTAACTTTTTTCAAATTCAAAATCAATCTGTATTCCCCGTTCTTTTTAGGGCGTAAAAATATTGGTGATAAAATTTGACCTTTCTCTGCCTCAACAGGCACTATTACTTTCAATTTTAGAAGCTTTTTGATTTCATTATCAATATGTTGACATTCAAAAGTATCAAATTTATACTGACAAGGAGAAAAATATTTTTGTCCAGAGTTATTAACTTGAAGATCAATATGACAATTTTTAACAATATCAAGAATTTGAGGGTCACTTGTTAAATTTTCCCATTCGTTAACAAAATTTGCAAGTCTACCTGCTTGAAAATAATCATTTACCTGCTCTACTGCTTGAATGGCAGCCGAGACCCCCGTCTCTGGTAGTTTTTTGAATCGGTAGATGTACCAACATTTGGATCCGACAAACCTCGGCCCCTCGGTCTCATACCTCGGCCATAACCGCCTCGGAAACGAAATCCTCTATTCAACATTCGGCGGGCAGGACCTCCTCGAAAAGGTCTACGATCAAACATCTTATTACTGATCTTGGAACAGTCCTCAATCTCCTTAGCCGACTTGGAGACATCGTCCCCAAATAAGAATTTTGTAAAAGGTCTAGATTGACTACAAAGATGAGTGTATTCCTTACTCATTTCAGGTCTAAGAAAGTCTTTCCTGGTCATATTAATTTGGCTTATTCGCATGACCCAACAAAGTCAGGACATCATTACACTGCTCTATCAACGGGACCAAGCTTCCATCATTCTCCGAATCTAATTTGTCCAACTCAATTGACTACTTTTACTAAGAGTGTACCACTTTTAATTAACCGACTCTTCAATGTATTGAAGTTTCCTATCAGACGTTCTAGCATTTGGGGAAACCGCGTCCCATATTAACTGGTTCATTTTTACCACAGATAAAGCCTCACAGTTTTCAGGCCTAGCATTGAGTTCATCTTTTGTCAATTTATTATAATGATCCTCATCAAGTCCATTTAGAAATAAGTCATTTACAGTTGACGCTAACACAGAATCAACTTTCGAATCACAAGTTTCTGTGGTCTTAAAACGCTTTGCCATATTCTTAAATCTACTATTATTATTCTCATCATCATTTTTTCTCTTACTCTGCTCAGGTTGATCATCATCCTGATGGAAATTGTCCACAGACTCATAATCATCATCATAATCATACTCTTCATAATATTGTTCATAATCGTCAACTTTACTTGCTAAACTGTTAATTTTTGTATTTTGTTCCTGCATTTGGCGATCAAACGAACTTTTCATAATTTCCAGAAGAGACAAAATTTTATCTTCAGAAGTTTTGCCCAAACTCGACGAGCTTGTACTTGCAGTTTTTTCGGGAACCTTTTCTGACGCTTTCTTCGGCGCTTTCCCTTTATTTGTTTTTTCATAACCGCTGCTTTCAGCAGCTTTTTTGTTCGCTTCTTTGGCATCCGCCATAATTTACGAAGATCACACCACGTGCGATCGAGAAAATTCGCCTCTCAACAACGATAAAAAACACAATAATGTGAACTACGTCCACACACAATATAGAAATAGTTAGTACATTGTATTTCGAATAAACTTCGAAATAAAAAGAGTGATAAACTTATATCGATCTACGACCGATAAAACTTTTAATATTATACGAAACGTGTTTCACTGCGTGAAACGCAACCGGGAAAGTGAACTGCGCATGCGCAACCGTATCTCAGGTAAGTCCCGAAACGAAATTCTTTCGCGAAAAAGAATCAATAGGGGTCATCTAGTAATAAACAACCTCAATACCAAATATAAAGACTGTTAACCAAAGCATTCTTAAGCAATTGAGCCAACAAGCTTTTTTAGGTCAAGGTCCCAGTGACCTCAAAATCAAAAGGGGTCATCTAATAATCATAAACAACCTCAATACCAAATATGAAGACTGGGTCAAAGGATTCTTAAGTTAATAGGCAGACAAGACCTTTTTTAGTGAAGGCCTGTGTGACCTTGACCTTTGACCTCAAAATCAATAGGGGAAATCTAATAATCATGACTAACCTCCATGCCATATATGAAGACAGTGGGTCAAAGGAATATTAAGTTATTGGGCAGACAAGCTTTTTTAGTCGAGGCCTGTCTGACCTTGCTTGACCTTTGACCCAGTGACCTCAAAATCAATAGGGGTCATCTACTCATCGTGACTATCCTCCATGCCAAATATGAAGACTGTGGGTCAAAGGAATCTTAAGTTATTGGGTGGATAAGCTTTACTCAAGGCCCCTGTGACCTTGACCCAGTCAAAATCAATAGGGGTCATCTACTCATCATGACTAACCTCCCTGCCAAAAATGAAGACTGTGGGGTCAAAGGAATCTTAAGTTATTGGACGGACAAGGAAAAACCGACAGACGCCCGGATGAACAAGCTGATTCCAGTATACCCCCCTTACAACTTTGTTGTGCGGGGGTATAATAAAGAGACATAGTGTGTAAGCGGCTGTTGAGCCTTCAAGTTCTGGTCAGACTGCATATTTTTCTCATTTTTCATATTTTTTCTCTGTGGCATTGGCGCCCAACATTGCGCTATGATGGTATAAAGCTGCGAGTCCAATTTCACATTGTACCTATTAGAAATTCAAGAACAAATTTCAATATAGCGGGGAGTATATCACAGTTCAAAACTGTACACTATTTCGAAGAGATACTAGTAGTTGAAAATCATAATTATAGGAAATTCTCAAACATAAGCATTTCTCATCTACAAAGGTCTGACATCAAAAATTTATAAGTAATCTGGTCTCTTAATACCATAAAAGATAGAGGAAATACACACCTTTCAATTGCATACAGATGCAAATAAATATTGACAGATCATTTCGGATAAAAATATCTAGTTAAAGGAGGATATTGATCAGAGTGTTTGTCTACAGCTTTAAAGCTGGACCGGATTAACATTATCTGTGAAAAGTTTAGGTACCATTAACCACAATAGAATCGTACAGTGTGTCCTGTTAAAAAACACTGGATACATAATTATTACGTGTAAATAAGCTTTTAAAGCTGGCTTATTTTTTCTAAAACCATAGTAATGTGTTAATACAGCTTTACAAAAAAACACAAGAAAGAGGTAACCAGACAGCAACAGTACGGAGCTGAATTAGAATACATATACATGTATATCTGTTTATATGCAATAAACAAATTGTATTTCTAAGGTCAAGTCATTGTTATACTCTGAATTTATTTGTCTCTGGATATAAAATAGTCTTTATCATTGAATTTAAAAATCCATAATGAAAGCAAGGTATCTGGGGATTGTGAAGATGACATCATTAAGTAATAGTGTTTATAGTGTGCAACATTACAGCAAGAGCCGTGCAGAAAGTTTAAGTTAACAAAGGTAAGTAATTCAGTAAAATTACATGCTGCAATTATTGTTAGTCAGCAAACGCAATATAAGAGTAAATCCATAATTTCAAATTAGCATACCTTTATACTTTTCAAACCATAAAACAATGCTATTCACAACCCATCTTACCCTAACAGACTATCATCAGGGTGAGAGCAAATGAGTTTAACCAACATGCCTAAACTTTATTCACTTTAGGTAATGTTTGGTGTCAAAATGGTTAGACAGAAAGACCATTAAGAAACTTCTCAAGAACAAATGTCTTTATTCACAGTTGCTCGATTATCTTCTCCAAATTCAATCCAAGAGGTACATGTTGCCTAAAAGGCTCATGGCAGGTCAATGTCAAGCATTCTAATACCAGGGATGATTGTTGACCTGTTAAGACTTATTCAGGAGGGTGTTGTGCTACAAAGGGTTGTTTTGAATGATATTGTTGTTGCCTCCCGCTGCCACCTACACACAAAGAAATGGTATAAACAGACTTAAGACACACCATTGATGACAATACAACACTGAACCAGCAGGTATACAGATATTCTGTCCCATTTGGTTCATTCCGGTGGTCAGTAAAAAATAAAATTATAACAAATTACTCAATAAACAAGAGGGCCATGATGGCCCTGGATCGCTCCCCTGACCCATCAACCGCATCCAAGCAATGTCTTAGACAAGAATCCTAGCCAAGTTTAATGACAATTGAGTCAAAAATGTGACCTCTATTGTGTTAAAAAGGTTTTCCATAATTGGGCAATGTGACCTAATTTTTGACTGGAGATGACCCATATTCAAACTTGACCTAGAAATCAACAAAGCAACCTTCCTGACAAATTTCCAGGATATTTGGATCAAAACTGCAGCCACTAGTGTTAAAAAGATTTTTCTATTTTTAGCTTCTGTGACCTAGTTTTTTACCGGAAATGACCAATCTTCAAACTTGACCTAGAAATCATCAAAACAACCTTCCTGACAAATTTCCTGAATATTTGGATCAAAACTGCAGCCACTAGAGTGTTAACAAGCTTTTTCTATTTTTAGCTCCTGTGACCTATTTTTTGACCAAAGATAACCCATCTTCGAACTCGATCTGTATTTCATTGAGACAAACATTCTGACAAAGTTTGACAATGATCCAATCAAAACTGTGACTGCTAGACTGTTAACAACCCAATTGTTGACGACGCACGACGACGCACGCCGGACATAGCCCCATCACTATACCTCACCTTGACCACTTCGTGGTCAGGTGAGCTAAAAATGGCAATAGTTTTCCTATTGACCTATTTATTCTAGTAAGTGACAATAAGGTTGTACTGGTTCTAATGATTCATGAATGCATTATGATCCTATACATATGTGTAAATGAATTGCAATTAATTCAAATAGTGGAACTTGTTTTTTGGTACAATACAATAACAAACCATAAAAGCACAATATGAGGATTTAATGATTATATAAACATAACATCTATTATGAAGATAATGAACATTAAAAAAAACAACAACATGCTTACAAACATTTTAAGCTTTTTACAAAACATTCAATTTTACCAAAGTTAAATTAAATCACAGAGAAAATATATCATTATTTCTAACCATGTATATGTAATATGTAGTTGAAAACACTTCCCTTTTTTCCAGGTCAAAAATATAAAAAGCTCTGTTCTTTTTTTTTTACAATGTTTTTTTCTTTCTTTCAGAAGACTCAATCAGTTTAAAAGCAAAATATTGTGACACTAAGTTACCTAATAAGCATTTCTGGATACTCTCTTCTTAACTATAGTTGTATTAACCTGTTCCTAGGTGTAAAGTTCAAACCAGTTTTTAGCTACATAAGTTTTAACTTGTTTTAGCTGTAAATTTTTAACTAGTTCTAAGCTGTACAATTATTAACCTGTTCTTAGCTGTTAAGTTAAAACCGGTTTTTAAGCTGAACAACTTGAATTAACTTGTTCTTTATGTTAAACCTGTATTTACTTGTTCTTAGCTGTAAATTTAAACTGTTTCTTAGCTGTTAATTTAAACCATTTCTTAGCTGTAAAATTTAAATGGTTTCTTAGCTGTAAGATTTAAACCTGTTCTTAGCTGTACAAGTATTAACCTTGGATTTGCGGAATTTCAAAAATGAATTTGTCTAGCTTACATTTTTGGAAATGTACATTATCAAGGAAACTAACAATTCTTGCTCATACTAAATCAACCATTGCTATTAACAGTACTCGGAGAATTTTAAAAACAAAACTGTAAAGATAATATTACCCGGTATACTAGTGTACTTAGACTGCTGGTTAAAAAAAAAAATTTTACTTTCCCCACAGAAAATTCCATGTAGTTAATTACAAAACTGCGAGACTATACACTAAAGTTAACTTTGTTCCTTATTTATTTCTTAACAACATTTTTCAGGGTGTGTTTATATAATAAAGCTTGTCTACAAATAGCACTGGTTGTTAGGGTATAGAAGAACCACAGATTTTTGTGAAGCAAAAACCTTTAACAATTGTCTGTCCCCTGACCTGAAGAAGGGACTTAGAGGCCAACAATTTGAAAATATCACTGAGATTACAAATGAATGTTTGTTATACTTTATTGCACATTTAGATAACATACAGTCATGAAGAAAATACTTAGAATGTTGAACCAGAATAAAATCTTTGATATAAATTCAAATTCAAACTGTTTATGCACAAAACACACACTTCTAAAAAATGCTTTACAAGCAAACAAAAAAGACTGGAAAAAAACAAAGTACAGATTTGCAAACAACATTCAATGATAATGATTATTTATATTATCTATAAGATAAATTTTCTTAACCATAATGCTAGATTACATTTATCATATAAAATATGTGTCAAACTGGGAATATGAGATCTTGTATGGACAATATTGTAAAGTGTAATCATTTTTCCAAAACATAACACAAAATACAGCAAGACCTGTTTTCCACTTTTCTCAGTGCTGGCCAGTTAATAATAGGCAACAAAGGAAAAGGGACATAATTCTGAAAACATGCTTTGCAAAATAACCTGCTCTTAATAGTCAACAAATATATTAAGTTTCAAGTAAATACCTTAAGGGTTTTTTAAGAAAAAGGCAAATATTCCAAATTAAAACAAGATTGCATTTGAGAAAAATGCTATGCCACCGCAATGTTCAAATTTCATAGCTGTACATCAAAGGACAAGAAAGTAGGTTACATCATCAAAATCTAGGTCACCTGATATCAAAGTTCAATTTTACAACTAAAACTGTGCACATGGTCAAAATGTCATTGCTGTACATTAAAGGACAAGAAAGTAGGTCACTGTCCCCTTGGGCAAGGCATAATTTTGACCCAAGGGTTTAATTCAAAACAATCTTGATACAGGTCCACCAAACAACATTTCAAGTCAAATATCTAAGCTATAGCTTTCTCCCATTCAGAAAACATTTGTTTTATTTTCTGTTTTTACTATGTGTACATAATGAGAATCACTGCCCCCGGGCAGGGCCAATTTTGACACCAGGGGAAAAATTTTAACAACTTTGGTAGAGGACCTATAAATGATATTATATATCAAACATCAAAGCTCTATGCCTTGTACCTTCAGACAAAAATATTTTTTATTCTTTCACTATATGTACATAATGATCATCAATGACCCCCGGGGCAGAACCAATTTTGACCCCAGGGCTATAATTTTAACAATCTTGCAAGAGGTTCACTACACAATGTTTCATGCAAAATATCTTAACTCTAGCCTTTGTAAATTTAGAGAAGATGATTTTTTAAGTTTTTACTATATACATATAAGGAAAACATATGGCCCCCGGGGCGGGGCTAATTTTGACACAAGAGGCTAAATTTGAATAACTTTTGTAGAGTACCTTAAGATGATATTATTTAACAAATATTAAAGCTCTACGCCTTGTACCTTCAGACAATAAGATTCTTTGATTTTTTTACTATATGTATATATTGAAATCAATGACCCCAGGGCAGGGGGCAATTTTGACCCCAGGGCTATAATTTGAACAATCTTGCTAGAGGTTTACTACACAATGTTTCATGCAAAATATCTAACCTCTAGCATTTGTCAATTGCTAGAAGAATTTTTTTGAAGTTTTTACTATATACATATAATATAGCATAATGGAAAACCAATGACCACCGGGCGGGGCCGATTTTGACCCCAGGGCTATAATTTGAACAATCTAGGTAGAGGTCTACCAGACAATGCCTTATGCAAAATATCTAAGCTCTAGGCCTTTTGGGTCTTTACAAGAAGGTGTTTTAAGTTTTTTCTATAAGTACATATAGTGAAAATCAATGACCCCGGGACGGGCCGATTTTGACCCAAGGGCTATTATTTGAACAATCTTGGTAAGGGTCTACCAGACGATGCCTTATGCAAAATATCTAAGCTCTAGCCTTTTGGTCTGTACAAGAAGGTATTTTAAGTTTTTACTATATGTATATAGTGAAAATCAATGACCCCCGGGGCGGGGCCAATTTGACCCCAGGCTATAATTTGAACAATCTTGTTAGAGGTCTACCAGACAATGCCTTATGCAAAATATCTAAGCTCTAGGCCTTTTGGGTCTTTACAAGAAGATTTTTTAAATTTATTCTTATAATTCCTTTTGGTTGCCATGGCAACCAGATTTCTGCATGGAATTAAATTCTTTGAACAACTTTGGAAGCCCTTCACCCAAGGAACAATCCTGCCAAGTTTGGTTGAAATTGGACCAGTGGTTTTTCACAAGAAGATTTTTTAAGTTCACTATATAATCTATATAACACACACACAAACACACACACAAACACACACACACACAGGTGAATCGCTATATGCCACCGCATCGCAGATGCTGCGGTGGCATAAAAAAGGAAAAAGGTAAAAATGGCTTTCAGGATATTTTGCCCCTAAGAAATGCATTAAATTTAGTAGTGAACATGTACAAGTTTAAAGTGAATATCTTTCGATACTTTCTGAGTAATGCACCTTTACCAAAAAATTGAAAAAGTTAACCAAGGCTAAAAAGGGGCATAACTTTGCCTAAAATAATTTTTGGATTATCTGTCCTTTTAGGACAATAAACATATATGGCAAGTTTGAAGTTATTAGCTATTATACTTTCTGAGAAAATGGAACTTAACGAAAAGGTTAACCAACGCCAACACGGCTCCATGACAATAGCTCCACTTGTTTTCTTTAAAAAAAGTTGAGCCAAAAATATAAATAGTTTAAAATTTAATTTAAATGCATTTGACTATTCCATTTAAAATTGTCCATGTATTTAAAAATATGTCAAAGAATACAAAATACAAGCTAAGCACTAAACCAATTTTGTCATAAGTTTTGATATAGATTAACTTGATGTAGACAATTGTCCAGACATTTCTAAATCATCTTTGATGGTGTAGAGCTGCCACATTGTACGCTGTACAATATCTGGAGACACCAAACTGAAGTCAAACATGTTTACCAAATGTATAAGATAGTTTTTAACAATATTTTTCTCTATCAACTCCCGACCATGTTCTTCAACAAAACTTTGTGATGCTTGAGGCATTTGACAGTCTGCTATATATCTGTAAAAGATAAAAGTTTATATTTTTACTTTTACTGAACATATAAATTTACATCACAATGATACATATTGTGCAGAACTTTGGTAACAATAATTTCAAGATACCATTGCATTCTTTTTATGAGTCTCTTACAAACAGATGAAAACTTTCAGAAAGAATTACTGACTTCTGGATAAATAGAACATAATAAAAGTAACTTCATAAAATAACTTAATACAATCATTATATACAGAAAAGATAACTTACGCGTATTTCATACAATGAAGGTTCCACATTTTCATCAGTTCTTTTTCGCCTTCATTTACATCAGTGAATTCATCTATCAACTGTAATACAGAAAATCAGTACATTATTTCATAAATTTCAAACAGTACACTATTCGATGAACTATAAACAAAAAGTACAGCGAGTACACTAATTCATATACAACACATAGTAATACATAACTAGGAACAGAAAGTACACTATTTCAAAAACAGACGTTACACTATTTCATAAACAACAAACAATAAATATTTTATAAACTAGAAACAAATAGTACACTATTTTATAAAGTACACTATTTTATAAAGTACAAATAAACTGTACAGCGAGTACACTATTTCATATACAACACACAAAAGTATACTATTTCATAACAAGGAACAGAAAGTACACTTTTTCATAAACAGACAATTCACTATTTCATATAGAGGCATTACACTAGGCATTACACTATTTCATAAACAAACAGTATACTGTATACTACTCCATAAACAGACAGAACACTATTTTATAAACTGCAAACAAATAGTACAGCCAGTACCCTATTTCATATACAACACACAAAAGTATACTATTTCGTAACTAGGAACAGACAGTACACTATTTCATAAACAGGGAATACACTATTTCATATACAGACAGTACTTTATATTAAGAAGAAAAACTTACATTGACAGATTTTTGGCAGAGCCATTTTGGAGTTATTTCATCTTCACTGTCTTGGCTGACCTCCTGAGGTTTTAAAGGTAGACAGGTGTTGGTCCGGTAATACAATCTGTAAATATTATAGCATTTTATTCTTTAGTATTTTACATTTATTTTAACTAGTATAGTTATTTCTCAATAGAAATAATAAACAATGAAACCAAATGGCCAAGTATATGATTGGTTGATTCTACCAAATTTTTTCAAGTTTATGCTATCTACAATACTTTTTATGTGTAAATTACATTTCTCTATATTGACGACTTGTGATCCAAATTAAGTAAATGAAAATTCCCACATAATATATACTGCTTTATAACTTCAAACTAAAAATAACTTGATCTTATGTAAACAGAAAGGATAATTAAAAGTAAAAACTCCTTTTAAACTTGTGCAGTCAGCGAATAATCCCTTAACCTGTTGACAACAACAGAATCTACCCATGAAACCAGTACAGGCCATGATCGGTCAGCATATTATTGCCATCAGATCATTGTCTGCACTGTTTGCTTTTCAAAGTATATTTTGAATTTTTTCCCTCAAAATAATAAAAGGTTTTGTTGAGATTAAAAGATACAAGTCCATTTCAGATATTTAGCATGGTATGGGTAAATATGGTTCCAATAACTTTTATCAAATAAAACCTCCACCAGACATCATATCTACTATAATAATGACCATTCTAAGGCTTGTAATCCTAAAGGGTAACAGTTAAACGAGTGACAAGTGCTCTAATATTATCAATCAATGAAAGTGTCAAATTAACCAATGCTTTTCGACTTATTTATGGTAAAATGTTGAATGATTCTTTACGGACCACGTAAAAACTTCAACATATCGAAAAAGTTGACTCATAAATATGTTTAAATATATAGGGTGAAAAATCGGGACCTTCATTTTACTTCAACACATTGAGAAAATCAACCAATCAAAGTTCAAGGCATAAAAGTTCTAATGTACATAGTTTACCAACAAGTGCAATATGGTTATACACATGTACATATTATATAAACAAGTGACAAGTGCTCAGCATAAATATGTTTATATAAAATGATACAACATACCTATTATGTCCCTGAATTATTTGTCTTGAAACCTGATTTTCTTTTTCTGCCTCACAAAACTCTAACAATGTATGTGGCTGTCTCTTTGGTCTACAATATCAATAAAATCATGTCTTAAAGAACACAAAGGTACTGCACAGAAGGGAGAAATATTCAGTAATTACATGCTTATTTGTAGAGTTTAGTATTCAGACAAGTCTTAAATATAAAACAGAAGAATAATGATAATTTATGTTATGTTAGAACATTTTGCAATTCAATATAAGAGTTTCAAGATGAGTAACAAAATATTGATATGTTAACAGTTATAAATAATGGCAGCCTTGTTTTGGGAATTTAATGGCAAAGATTGGATTAACTTCAGCCCCACTTGACCATGTTCAATGCATTTATTATAAAACAAGTACTGTCTGTTTCAATAATAGCATTATGCACATAGACCATATCTTACAATAATATATATGTAGCATTTCTCTTTAAAGGAACCATTGACAGACTTGCCATTGCTTCAACAATTAACTTTGAACTAGCTGTTTAAGCAAGTTCACCATACAGCATATGATTTTATTTCTATTATTATTAAGATTGATTATAGAACATTACCTGTACACCATGACATGTGTGACACATGTTCGTCTGACTGGTCCAAGTCTATGGAAGGCAAAGCCGATATGTGAGTTCAAATCCTGAGGATTACCAGAATATGCACCATCATAACTGTCATTTATTGTAACATCTATACGAGCACCTTTAGGCATAGGCTGTAAATATACATAACAACAATACATAGTAATGAACATAACACCCAGAATACTGATCAATATTAACACAGCAAAACAAAATATATCCAGCTTCAATGAATATTTAATAAATACATGGCTAACATGACTGTCTAAATAGAAGCTAATAAAAGTTTTACAAGCTTTATAAAAAAAAATTGTAAAAACTAGAACTGCCACTATAATGGCGTGAATACCCCCGCATACCACTTTGTCAGAATCAACAGTGGCCATTTAGAGCTCAAGGACAACCTCCCTGCCAAATCTGAGGTTACTAAGCCAGTGCATTGCTAAGTTATGTATTCTACATGCTTCAAATGTCAATACATTGCGGACAGGACATTCTTTAGCAATTGAGAAGAAAAGCTTTTTTGTCAAGGTCCCTGTGACTTTGACCTTTGACCCAGTGACTTCAAAATCAATAGGGGTCACCTTATAGTCATGATCAACATCCATACCAAATATGAAGACTGTGGGTCAAAGGAATCTTATGTTAATGGGTGGACAAACTTTTTGAAGTCAAAGTCCCTATGACCTTGACCTTTGATCCAGTGACCTCAAAATCAAAAGGGGTCATCTACTAATCATGATCAACATCCATGCCAAATATGAAGACTGTGGGTCAAAGGAATCTAAAGTTATTGGGCAGACAAACTTTTTGAAGTCAAAGTCCCCGAGACCTTGACCTTTGACCTGGTGACCTCAAAATCAATAGGGGTCATCTACTAATCATGACTAACCTCCATGCCAAATATGAAGACTATGGGTCAAAGGAATCTTAAGTTATTGGGCGGACAAGCTTTTTGAAGTCAAGGCCCCTGTGACCTTGACCTTTGACCTAGTGACCTCAAAATCAATAGGGGTCATCTACTCATCATGACTAACCTCCATGCCAAATATGAAGACTAAGGGTCAAAGGAATCTTAAGTAATTGGGCGGACAAGAAAAAACCGACGGACGGCCGGCCGGATGGACGGACAAGCTGATTCCAGTATACCCCCCTTACAACTTGTGCGGGGGTATAAAAAAATATATTTGAAAGACAGAATGCTGTCTCTAAAGATAGCCTCTGCTATGTACCATGAATGTTAAATTGAAAATTTGATAAAATGTACGGGTAAATTCCATTCTGTGTTGTTTTCCACCTTTTCTGTTTTATTGTGCTATATTTTCCCTTTCTGAAAGCCACAGACTATTTTGAAAATTGAAATAAAATCATTTTTTTATGAAATTGTAGAAAGAAAGAAAGAAATACAAGTTGTAAAATATTGTACATTAACCTTTTCCCTTATATAAGCGTGTTTCGACAGCTTCCCCCCCCCCCTTTTTTTGAGGCTTCAAACAGTGAAAAAATAGCCTATTTAGGCCCCAAACACTGTTTTGCGTTTGAAATGTTGTTAAAAAAGTGACCACTTTTTCGGCGCCATCCCCCATCCAAATGTTTCAACAGGGGGTTGCCAGAAGGGGAATGTACCCCCTTCTGTTTGGGAGGTTTGGAGGGGGCTGAGTCCCCCTTATCGCCAAGAAAATTTTGGACATGTGACAGGCTAAAAATGGCCTCAGGTCAATCTTAGGGTAACTAGTAACCGACCCTGAAAAGCCTTTTACTCTATCTCAATTCATTGAGAAGTTGCAGCACTTCGAAATCAGTTGCACTTTGAAATCAGTTTTCCTGGAAAAAACAATGCAAAATAGTGATTTTAAGCAATTTTGAGAGGTCCCCCGTTGCCATGGTAACAGGCAATTTACGATTGAGCATGCTGTTACAGAGGCTATGGTCTAGTCAACATTTGTGCCAAGTTTCATCAGTATTGAAGCATTTTTCATAGTTTTATAGCAGTTGGAACTTGTTACAGGAGGATTTTCAATGAAAACGTCCATTTTTCGCAATATGCTCATGGGGTAAACGGTTAACATCTAGATTACAAATCTAACAAATCACATGTTCTTTTTTTCCACTTTTGCATGGCAATAAAAACTTACCACATATAAAACATTAAATCTAGCATGACTCAATCGTAGATGCTTTAAAAGACTGTACAACTTTTCACAGTTCACTGAGCACCATGGACACCTCATGTTGTCTCGTGTATCTGTCTGTTGACGTGTTATTTCATTATATGAGAACATATATGTGACCTGTATCTTCTTTGTTGGTGTTGACTGACCTTCATCTTTCATCTTTTGAGGGGAAGATTCTGAGTCATACCCTAATATGTGATTATACATCAATATTATCATACATCAATATAATTATCATTAATATGGCATACAAATTACATCATTTTGTGAATGGTTGTAATGCAAATGCAGGACTAACTTTTCCATTTAAGAAGCTATCCAGCTAGCTTCTGGAAGGTTGGTGGTTCTACTTCAAAGCAAGAAATAATGCACAATGTAGCATCTAAAGTTTTCCTCAGCTTGTAAATTATAATCCTGGCATATGACCATTACAGTATCTCAGTCGCTTTAAAACCTAATAGATAAAATGATATGTTTGGTTTGCATTGATTAAACAATTAATAATTTTGTGTGTTCATCAATTAAATAATTAAACAAGTGTTTAACATAACACATGAGTGGCATAAGTCCACCTGGCTGGACCAATCATATATGTAACTACAACGATTATGTACAGCCAACCAAATATACAGGTGAGTGCTCTGGAGGTTTCCTCTTCATTTGAACAATGCAATGTATGTGGTTTACCAAATATTTCAAATCTACTTTTTAAAAAAATGTCAAGGTCAATTTGAGTTTGATAAACATGAAGGTCTTGTCCTTAAGAATGTTCTGTTATAATATGAAGTCAATCCATTCAATAATAGCAAAGTTACAGCCAGTAACAGCAAAAAATAATAATGAAAATTTCAATAATTTGACCTTCAAAGTCAAAGTCATTTATGAGTGAAGGTCTATGTCTGTCTGGTTATTTTAAAAGGTTATCCTTGAAGATTTTTATTTCAAGTTTGAAGACAATCCATTCAAAAATAATAAAGTTACAGCCAATAATAGCCAAAAAAATGAAAATTTCAATAATTTGACCTTCAAAGTCAAGGTCATTTATGAGTGAAGGTCAAGGTTTGTCTGGTTATTTTAAAAGGTTATCCTTGAAGATTTTTATGTTCAAGTTTGAAGACAATCCATTCAAAAAAATTTGTTTTTCAAAGTCGAGCTAAAAATATCTTCAATCACACCAATTACATAATTAAGCCTATTAGTACCCTGATGTAGAAGGTTAATTGTATGATAAGAAAGCTTTAAAAATACCTGAAAAATTGTTGTACTTTGTAAGCTGATTGTTTTTCACAAACTCACTGGGTGGAGTTCTACATTGCTGGTTTCCATCAGGATCATCTGTCCAACTCAAATGTAACTTAAGTGTAGAACTGGAACCAAACTCATCAAGTTTATCTATACTCTGAAATACAGAGAAGACAAATCTTCTTCAATACAGTAGAAAACATTTCTTTCTAGAAAGACATAAAACATATTGCCAGGGATCACGCTAGCCATAAATTTTAGGGAGAAGTGACTTCTTTGAGGACAAGAGAAGCACATACAAAATACATTTTTGGGAGTGTTGATATTCCATTTGAAAATATTTAAGTTTTAGTTTGACCAAACATTAGGTGGAAATAAAACAATGCATGTATGCAAAAGTTTATTAAATAACTCATATCAATAGTTGTAACAATAAACAGCAAAATTACAAATGTTGTGAAATGAACAATTTTGTTTTCGCTTTTCTACATAAACTGGGCTAAATGGATAGGGGACAAGGCAACTATTTCCCCCAAGTTGCCTAGAAACGTGATCCCTGATAACAAACTAAAAAGAAATTTGTAGCAAGATACAAATGTTGAGCAAGAAATGTTGAATATAAAAAAAGCAATGTAGCTAAAAATGGCTTTAAAGTGGGATAACACAAAGAGTCTAATATTGATTTAAAGATTGATAAAACATATAATGATACTATTTTGAGGACTATGTATTTTTTACTCTTTTCCCATAAGAACTCTCCCATCTGCTATCTCTAGTGGAAAATTTGGACCCTGTATCTTGCAGCACTAAGTCATATATTCCTGACTTAAGTACACCCTGGTACTGATTACTGTATATAGTTATCTCTGCACTATATGTTGCACTGCCCTCCTCCACACTATTGCTCCTCCCATTCATTACACTACGTCTCTTCTTTGGTTGAGGTTCCTCTGCAGAATGTATTTGTGTAATACTTAACATTGATTTATATAGTACCGGTTATAATGGAATATTTGCAATGTTATTCACCTGTTCAAAAGTAAATGACTGATGAATTTTAAAACAATAAATGATTATAATGGAATTTAAGAAGCATTTTTCATTCAATGTACTTTGCAAATTTCTAACTTTTTTTTCATATCATGTTTAATCGGGGAAAAAACATTTCCCATCTTCTGTACAGTAAAAAAAAGAAACCTAAAACGTTAATAAACACAACAAAATTGAAAATGCTGCAGACTGGGTTTGATTGAGCCTCTATGGACGGAAAATGTAAATCCAACCTACCTACCATGCCCCCTAGAACAAGATATAGCAAAATTCATTATAGCAAAACCATTTATAACAAAAAATGGATTAAAAGTCTTTCTTTAAAAATAGATAAACCTTAAATATAGGCGCAAAACTTGAAAAGGTAAAGAACAGTGAACCATTTCTGTATGAAGGAAATATGAGGAGGAAAAATGGTATGTTAAAACATTAATACATACCATGTTCTGATGCATCACCATTTGAGATACCATTTGAAAGACTAGGCTTGGACTGATAAGTAACATTTACATTTAGAATACAACTGTGAAATCCATCTTTTGGCTTGAAGCTAAATCCATCTTTACACATCACTGTTTCCTGGCATGGAGTATAGCTTTCACAGTCAGACTGGGTACCATCAAGACTAGACTGGTTCCAATTAGGGTTGACTGGTACCTTTACTTTTCCTAGACTAGTGTTTTTTAAACCTTGATGTCTATCACCCTACAAATATCAGAAACATTTCAGCATATAAGTTTGTGTGATCTTTAATATATAATAACAATAGGGAGAGTATCATATTTGTTATCCAGGATTGCTGGTTCCATTTTAGCAGGTGTGTTTTTTCTGAGACCACAAATGTTACATTTAGACAGTCTAATGGTCAATTGTCTCTCAAAGCTGATTCAGAAATCATGTGGAACTGGTTATTGTAATTATTAATTATTTATCAAAGAAAGCTGCTTCAGTTGGCCAACTGGTGGGATATGACAATAATTTGTTGAAGTTAAGCAATAAATATTATGTATACTTGGTATTAAATTTGTAATTGATTTTTTTTGTGATTTTCAGGTCAATATGTACAATAAAATTGACTATCGCTGGAAAACAGGTACACAAGTTAATGGTCCAAACCTACATTCAGTCATACAAAATATTTTTGGCCCTTTCATGTCAGTTGAGTGTGCACTTAAGTGATATAAGAATATCAAAGATATTGTTTAAAATATGCTTAAATAGAAAGATAAATCCAATGTATTTTTTAATTAAAGCACTACAGCACTACTTAAATATAGCATAGCATAGCTTAACCACATTCTTGCAATAATATGTATCACACAAGCTTTAAGACCAGATAAATAATCTGATTGTCTTCTATATATCAATAGTATTGAAGTATTTACCTTAAGTCCATGCTGTTGGTTAGTTTTAGTTAATGTGATATCTACAGTTGCCTCATTTACATCAGGAGAAAACTGACTGTTATATACTCCAGCTATCTCCAACTTTAAATATTTCACACTAGAACTGAAATTAAATATATCAATTACATGTTATTCAACCACCATCAACATCTTAATAAAATATCACATACTACAGATAAAATAGTAAATTTAATCAGATTATGTTGGTTATAAGATCATCAGATCTGTTATGAAACTCTTGTTATGCAAGCAGCTGATGATTATCATTGTCAACATTATACATGACAGTTCTTCATTATGTTAAATAATAAGTAAACAAATCAAACCCAGAATAGATAATCTGAATTTTCTTAAAATTTATTAGAACTTAAAACAGTTTTGTTGTAACTCAATTCATGAATGAATCTGCCACTTTCTTACGAATAACCTTTGAGGGTATTTCTTAACCAACAGCGGTTGTTCATTTTTTTAATATAAACCAACTTGGTGTTTTTAGTTATGTTGTTCCCCACCCCCTTAAAAACATTTCATTTATTGTTTTTCCTTACAAATAAGGATAATAAACATGTCTTTAAGAAACACGCTACCAGAAAGTTAATTTTCAACCAAATTTCTAAATGTTCACTACTAAACTGTCACTACCTGTTAATGTCTGGATCTTCTTTTATATCTTTCCTATTGGTCAGTATACTGTCAACTTTAAATGTTCTCCTACAAAGTAACATGTAAAAAATTTTCTGTAAAATTAACATTATATAACAATAAAACTTACAGCAAAATATATGTATGTCATGATTTAAATATTATTTAAAATGTCATTTAAATATTTAAAATCAATGATGACAATACAATACAATACAAAGCCCAACACAATACAATGTATTTAAAGAAAAAATATGTTTTGATTTTACCCATAATCCAGAGATCTATTTTGAATACTGCCAAAATAATTCCCAAAATAATTTCTTACAAAATATACAATGTCAATTCATAATCACCTTGATTTACAATTTAACATAGCAAAACTTAAAAAAAAACAACATCACTACCGTAAAGTAACACTTAATAATTACAACAAAACTGTCATAATTACCTCTTTAAATTGTCAACTGACCGTCTGTGTTTCATATATGTCAAGCTTCTTTGTAGGAATATAGGCTGAAACAATAATTACATAACATGTTTAATGACCATTTGTAAAACAGTCTTTTTTAGAGAACTTTGCAAGATTAGCTTGCTGCAAAGCTGTCTATAAAGCAATACATAATTTACTAGCCTGACCTGACATTTGTCTCTTTAATATCTTCTTCTATGGTTTAGAAAACAGGTGTAGGAAGCTTTAAAGAAGAAATAAATATGTGTGGGTGCATATATTAAAACCTGACTGTTAATCAGTGTTCGAAATTAGCAGTAGTCCGATAGCCCCTGACTACTAAATTTCTCCTCGGGCTACCAACTTTTCACATTAACAAGCCCGACCAGGCTACTGTATTTTCAGAGGCAATATAAACAACTGTTTTAAACAAATGAATCGTGCTAGTGAAATGTCTTTTGGGCTAGTGAATATTCCAATCTGGTAGTCCGACCAGCCTAGTCGATTCAAATTCTAATTTCTTACACTGCTGTTAATGTTCAAATATGATATCCTTTCATATTCAATAATGAGAAGAAAAGGTACAACGTATTTGTAAGTCATTTCATCCTGATTCAAGGGCATAAAAGAAGCCTGTCAAATACTACCAGTACTACATGGAGGTTATCATGGCCCTGTTTTCCTCACAAAATTTGAAGCACACAAGAATGCTACAAGGTACACGTAAATCTGACAAGTTCTATCAGCAAAGATGACCAGATGATGCCAGCACCCTGAGCTTCTATCACCTATGCTACTAGCATCATCCTAAACTTGGGGCTGGTTGAACTTTACATTTCAGTGATTTACAACCAAACTGATAATAAAGTATGCCTACCGAAACAAGATGCCTTGTTTTCAGATATCTGTATATCCTTGTTGGCTCTGAAAAAACAAAAAACAAATTGCTTAACACTATAAATAAAAGTATATATGCCAAGTCAAAAATGTTAGTAAAAAGATGTCAGTAAAATGCAATCAGAAATTTAGGGCCTGAAAATCAAATGCTATTTGGGCTAGTGGTAGACAATATCCGTCTTAAAAAAAAACCTTTGCAATTGAGAATAACATGCAAGGACTTTCCTAACATATTTTTCAAGGTAACTTATATTTCCAATCTTTCCTCAACAAACACAAGAGCTGTCAGTGGGACAGCACACTCCACTATTCTTAGTGCTTGATAGTAAAAGAGCCTTGATAATATAAAATTTTCTAAGATCACAAAAGGGCCATTTTTTTCTTTA